TGACAGGTAAAGACCACGGCAATGGTCAGTGCACTCCTCCTTAACCCGCGAGCCAACATCTCATTAAGCCTTATTAATTTTAATAAGTAAAGGACACTTTTTCAAGCCATTCCGCTGCAATTTTAAGGAACTGAACTCGCTGAGGCAGAGCAATCACCATCTTCTTACCAGCACTGGGAGCTGCCGAGCTCCCAGGTGTCTCTTCAGAAGGAAAGCACAGTGTGGTGACATGGTGGCAGGTGCCACCACACTGTGCAGCCAAGCCCTGCAGCATCCCACAGCCTGGCCATGGGGTTTTCCAGCAAAACAGACTCCACCAAGCACTGGCAGCCTTATTTTTAACATCCATTTTCTTACCCGACATAGAATTTTTCAGGCTTGTCTAAAGGAACCAAAAGGCTTCTATGCAGACCTGCTACCACCTCTAGGCTGACACACATTGAGTAACTTACAGCCATTACCCCCATAATAGTTTTTCTCCCTCCTCCTCCCGGGTTCTGCAACCCAGCCAAAACCTGGAGCTGCTTCCACCAAAACCAAGAAACTCACTCCCAAAAGACTGTGCTGGCACAACCAACCACCAAAAGAAAAGCCAAAGCACATCTAAAAAATTCAAATTAGAAATTATATCCTAGGCTGCAGGCAAATAGATTTCCCATTGCAGTACTAAAATGTCACATTCCAACACTGTGCTGAATTTCTAAAGGAATAGCACTACAAAGCCTGCTGGAAACACTAGAAAACTTCATCTTGTATATCTTCAATGTAGAGGGCACAGGGCTTTTCTACTCCATTCCAAGCAGGGCTGGGTAGCTTTGCCCAGCATTTTTTGGTTGGTTGGTTTTTAAATTTTGTGATGCAGGACAGCCAGTAATTTTTAATTGCAACTGAATTATTTTCTACTGAGTATTTCCTACTCCTATCAGGCATCAGATTTTCAAGACACAGGCCAAATTTAAAATTTCTGTTATTTGTAATCTGGGCTTAAAGCCCATGAGATAATTCATACTGAGCACCACTGCTGCTGCAGCAACATTCACAGAGACGGTGAGTACTCCACGCTGTGGGGACATCAAGCAACAGCCTGTCAAAGAACAGGACCAGAGGGGATGAAAGCAACAGAGACAGGGAAAAATCATGAAGATGCGAAGACAAACAAGACCCTAGCTAGCTCCTATCCAGCATGAGCTGCAGCACAACCCAGCAGCAGCTGTTTGCATGTTTGGTGAGCAGAAGGTTCAGAGGAGAGAGGATCGGGATGTCTCCATGTATATGTCAGCTGGAGAAGGTGGTGAGGTGCTTCTGTGGAGGACTGTAGGGGTGAGTGACCTCACAGGAGAGGCAGCAGGGCAGAAGTGTTGGTACCCAAAGACCTCACCCATTCCATCACAGGGCAGATGGTGGGGAGCAAGGGGCAATGCCATTTTCCTGTGTCCACCTGTTTTGTCCCTTAGCCTGAACAGCAAGTTTTGGCTCTATCTGCTTTGGTGGGTACTTGCAAAGCCCAAGTGGAGCCTGATGAGTAGCTCCATCCCCCCTGTGCTACCACAACACAACACAACCAGACAGCTCTGAAGCAACCAGGGCTGCTGACTGACACCAGCTCAGGGACACAGACACATCCACTGCCAGGTCACAAACACAGGAGCACTGCTGGGACTTCAAACGCACAGACATGATCCACTTACATGGAAAACGAGTGGCTTACACAGACATATGTGAAAAACCAAATGCTTTAATCCATCTATCAAGAACAACAGTTCAAATTATTTCATTGGATACATTAATATTGATCCATAATTTACAGTGCTATGGACCATACACAAATTATTGCTGCAGTCAACAGCAGATGAATATCAACATTACAGTACCAAGCATCATAGCAAGAGGCAGTAATTAATGTCACTTTTTCAAGAAATATAGGTATTTATACTATTATCAACATCAGCTTCCCCCCCCCAGTGCATTTTATGTCAAACAACATAAATGTAAGTGCATTATTTTGTGCTTTGTGCTTTCCTCATGTACCTTCTTTTTACTTTTACAGGTTGTAAGAGTTAAATATTGCTTTGTAGACCAAAAGCAGTAAAGGAAGAACTTCATGGTACTCTGCATGTTCCTGCTTGTTGCACGGCTTTGGCAAAGTGACAACTGGTAGGTATCCTGTCCACTCACTCAGGGAAGCCACAGCCAGCCCAGTGTCCCTCAAGACACCACCATCAGACTGGGCAACAACTTCTGTCCATCTCACTCCACCTAGTTCATGCCAAACTCTGCCTCTAAACACTGTCTCTGGCCTCTACCATCGATCCCCTGCAAAACCTCACAGCCACATGTTCCTCCATGAGTAAACAGGCAAAGCCATCTCCAGTTTGCACCTGCCTAGAAGTCTGTGTCTCCTTGAGATGTCACCACCACAGTCCCAACATACTGCCACTCAAAGGTTGGTCAAACTCAGAGGAGGGCTGTAACCTAAGGAAACAGAGGGTGAGGAGTGAGCAGGGCACAACTGAGTCATGTTACCCCCGAGTGACACAACGTACAGGAACCACAAAACACAGCTGCTGGGGTCACAGTGACTTTTATCAAGAAATCCAGCTCTTGATACAACGGTTTTCCTTGAATCCTAACTCATCCCCACACAGCATGGAGCCAAATATCAGTCGAGGCTGCCAGCAAGTACCAGTGTTTCAAGTCTTGAAAAAATATTTATATACCACAGTCTAGACTCGAATTTCTGAATGCCCAGCACAGGCACCAAACCAAAGCCTTATTCAATCTATTCAGTGGTTTTCAGCTACTACACTCAAGCGTGCACACCCTGATTTTGCTGCAGAGCTGTTCCATTTCAATGGGGAAGGGTAATGCAACCCTGTGTTACAGCTACAAGCATTTGACAGCCCTGATTTTCTTTACCTGTCACCATTACCAAACAGCAGCACCAGAAGCCTGTACCCACATACTCAACTCAGAGCTAATCACAGCAGAGCTGCCTGGCAGGGGATTTCCTTGCCTAAGGACCATGATGGCTGCAGCACATCCTGCAGTGTCCCGGGGCCTGCCCTGGGCCAGAGCTTCACTACCCTAGGAAAGACACATTCCCAAAAGCTGTCTGGGGCGTGGGGGGGAGAGTCATCATTAAAAGCTAACTCCAGCTCCTCCTTCAAAAAAAAAAAAAAAATTAAAACTCAAAGAACCAAAAGCCACAACCTGGTGGTTGCATCAACACCAACACACAGCTCGCTGCTCAAGCGGGAAGGGAGGTGGCCGGGCACGGTCAGCAGCGGCCACAGAGCGAGCAACAGCAACGCAGACCCTGGAGCAGCAAGACCTTGGAGCACCTCAGCAGCAAGACCCTGGAGCAGCAGAGCAGCAAACCCTGTCCCCCCCAAGCCCCCAGCCACCGGCACTGGGAGGAGACACTCCAAGAAGCCCTCCACAGGGAAACCCTTTGGAGGAAGCTGAGCCAGCCGGGCCTTAAGCTCCGGGAACTGTCGACCCTGTCCCCAGCTGTCCCATTGCTGCCCAGTTCACATTTGGTTTCTGAACACCAGCTGCTGCCATCAAGGTTTCCTCAGGAACCTGCCACACTGGCCCTCCCATCACTAACCGTTTCACTTACCCTCTGTAATTCCCAGCGTAGCACAAAGGAGAATGGGAAGCTCTTGTTTTCTCTACGTAGGCACCACGCTACACCCCAGCGTCCTGGAACACACCACCCGAAAGCTCCCTCCTACGCCACACGTCAGTCAGTGCTAGTCCAGGAAGACTACAACTAGAGTTTAAGGCACTTCATTCCGAACGGGATTCGCCCGCCTGCCGCTTGCAAGTCAGCTCTAGGCTGCTCTGGAGAAATCCATCCACTCCATCCAGCCCCTAACACCACAGGTCACCCCTCTCAAACACCCAGGCTTGATATAATACGAGTATAACTACCAGTATTGCATAGGACTACACTTGAGTAGATAATGCACCCAACTACTTGTACAACATTGTTGCATGTTAAAAATTAATAACATTGTTATCAAGTAACAGTTATTTGCAGATACAGTAATTTACTCTTTTTTTTTGTTTCTTTTTTGTTTTTCTTATGTCAGCCCCAGTGCTGAAATAAAACACAAATTACTATAACGGGTATATTAACTACATAGTTATGTTTCCAAGCATATTACTACTTTTTTTTTTTTTTCTCCTGTATCACTAAAAATAAATATGTAAGTTCAGTTTCTCTACAGAGTTGTTTTATTACCTAATCTAAATTTATACTCTACCTTAAATGTGTTTAAAAACATGTTCAAAGTGAGACGGTAATATACAAAATATTCTCAAAATCTCTCTTAAAACACAGAACCCTGCATAAAAGCTTCCTTTCAAGTGTTTACAAAGAACGCAGAAAACTTCCAATGAGTTTTAAAAATGTCAAAAAATTCTTGCAATATTAAGAGGCAAAAATCTTACAAATGAAATACAAATATATTTAAAACAAAAAGTTGAGGATAACTAAGGAATCCATGCAAATCAAAAGAAACTGTACAATGCAATTAAAAAAAAAAAATAAAGCCAATTAGATATGTACAACGTAATGTGCCCAGTTGATAAAATGTATCAATTGTTGTGGGTTTTTTTGTCCAAAGAGTGTATCTACCAACTTACAGTGCTCCTGCTTGGTTTCCTCTCATCAAGCCATCAACACGTGTTACAAAACAAACTAAAAATCTAAGAGAAAAACTGGAATCATGATCAAAAGGAAAACTCAAATCAGCTCAGAGTACAATTAAAGAGCACTCTGAGAAAGAGACTCCCCTCTCCCTCTCACAATCAACACAACCAGGATGTCTTAATACCTTTTTTTGTTTGTTTGTATTCTGAGTGGAGTAGGGTGGGTATATTTCCCTAAACACTTGTCATGTAAAGACCAACATCTGAGGGACACTGTATCTTTAAGGCAGCACTATTCAATTAATACAATTACAAATTTGGACTTATTGTTGTTGTTTCTGTACATTCTTTTAACTATACATTTTGTTTCCAAGTAAATAGTTTGCATTTACACCTCTGTGATTCCCCCCCTCCCCGCCAGTAGAAACAGACTCTTCATGTGTAATTCAATCTATTGCTTTGAGTGGATTTGACCAGTTCAAAGTTCTTGGCGAATCCAGTTCACAGATACTGTACATATGCTGTACAATATTTTGGAGGCGTTGGTAGCTTTAAAATAGAATATACAAGTTTCTTCACCAAAAAATCTAAAAAAAATCCTATATATATAATATATACACACACGCAAACACACTGGGCTACTGATGAAGCACAAGGGAAAAAAAAATAAATCAAAAAATTCTACAAAAGGTAAACTGTTTAATCTACTGATCAAGAAACAAAGCAGTTTATGAAAGGTGTGCCAAGTATTTGCTAACAAGCATGGTCAGTGTCCTCCATGCTCACGCTGCTCCGCCTGCTACTCGTCTTCGATGCTCCAGGAGACACAGAGGAAAGTAGTGGGTCAGTTACTCCGACAGGAGAGAGGGTATCGTCCATCAAGATATCTTCCAGTTTGGATCCCATTTTGGCAGGAACACTGTAAGTGCCAGTTGGTTCAGTCACGCTCCCGAGGTTGTCACTGAAGGTGATGGTACCATCAGTGAGATCGAGGGTGGTTGTGCAAGACAGGTCTGTGTGGTGCGGCAGGATGTCTTGGTTGCAGTTGTCCAGCACAGGTTCTTGTTTGATGGCCCTGTTGACCATATCAGGGGAGCAAAGGCCTGTAGATGGAACCAGGGACAGTCCATGCGCCCGAGCTTGCATCTCGAGTTCCTGTGAAGGACCATAAGGGACAGATTAAGAAAAAATAAATCCGAAAGCAAAATCCATCATCTCATGCTCTCAGGTTCTGCAACTTACACTGCAACTTTGCATCCTTCTGTTGGATGCAAACAATTTCCTCCCTTTCCAACAGTAACAAGAGCTTGCGCCTTGTACACTTCTGCAGATCTTCACCTGAACACTAATTTCATGAAGGGGTGGATGAGCATCACCACACACAACACGACTCCTCCTCAGAACCCACCCCAGAAACAAAGCCCAGCACCCCACAGAAAGCTAACATTCCTCCCCCGGGCTCTTTCTCAAACCAGTGCCACAGCAGGCAAGTCTGGCATCAGGACAGGTGGGGAAAGCATTTAAAAGTTGGAAAAAAACCCAACAGAATAGTAGAAGCATGCACTTAGTATCACAGAATGACCAAGGCTGGAAAAGACCTTTAAGATCGAGTCCAGCCTATGACCTAACACCACCACACTGGCTAGACCATGGCACTAAATGCCACATCCAGCCTTTCCTTGAACACATCCAGGGACAGATGTGTGTCCAAAAAGCCGTATGTGAAGACAGAGCATGTCTAGATGATGCTTGGTCATTTCCTGCTGAGACACTGGAAGGGGCATTTCTCATTCTACAAGTCTGGTAGAGCTGGAAATAAAGAGATCAGCCAAAACTGAGCAACATTATTCCTGCACTGAAAAATGACAGGCAAGTCACAGGAAGGCTTCATACTTCACACATAGTCAGGATTCTTCAAATCTCCATAAAAAGTTTAAATCTCACCTTTACATTTAATCATAGAGATGCACTTGACTGAAGACAGGTAATAGAAGAATCTACTTAAATACGCTTTTCTAAATGCAGCAGTAAGAGAGGTGTTTTGCTTCTACTTATACTTTATATTAGGCAATCACAATCACTGTTGTGATTGTACAGTTTCTGGATATTCCTGTCACTGAGGTTGATTAATTGCCTTTTTTCCATTTTCAAGCTAAGAGAACAAGCTTGTATTGACACTGCAAGATCAACAGAGAAGGTGGAAGAAAGAAGCACTTCTTCCATCAGCTAACATTACTCTGTGCTTAATCAACACAAAAGGAGAAAATACAGACTTTAGGTTATTTGCTGCCAGATGTACTGCCCGTTATTCAAGGGTCTGTTTTTTATGTTGTTTTGATAGAAGAAGGAGCCAGAGCAGATGGATAATGCAAAGGAAGATGAAAGATGCTTAAAAAATGATCTGACTTAGCTTTGAAATAACACTTCTTGATGTTGCTTTGCAGAGGGGTCATGCATCTTTATCCTCTCACTCTAAGCAAACAGATTGCTCAGTGAACTACAAAACCAGCACTGAAGCTCATCCCAGCCTGTTCTATTTTAAAGCTGTTTACTGCCACACTTGGCTCTCAGGTATTTCTAGCTTCATTATCTCCTTTGTGGATTAGCCAGGCTGTGGTTCAGGGGTGTCTGACACCACAGGCTGCAGAGAGCTGGGCTGTGTGCACTGCAGGGAGCAGCAACAGGAGAATCTGGGACTTCACTGTCTCCACATTATGTGTTCTTACACTCAAGCCTAGATATTCTTTAATTAGCCTTTTATGGAGGGGGTGGATATCCAGCTATCTCTGTCCACCTGGAGAACAGGGTTGACAACAAAAGCTGTGTAGGGTGCAAGGCTAAGTTTTCCTATCCAGCTCGAGATGAAGGCAAAGGAATCCACTAGAGATGGAGCTCTCACCCCTACATCTGTGTCACACAGGCTGCTGGAAGCCTGGGTGAATCTCATGAGGCAACAAGCCACAGACAAAATATTCATGCCACCTACTGCTTTTCAGTGTTGAGGACTGTTTTACAGTCCTACAGACTTCAAGGAACAACGATAACCACCAACCACAGCAGCTCTGTGGGAATAAAACCCAGCTCAACACTCTTGCCTGTCCTACTGAAAAACTCCTGGAGCACTTCCATGAGGTGCACTTCTCTGCAACTGCTATCAGATAAGCCAGGGCAGTCTCCACATTAAATACAGTCCCCCAGATACCAACAGGAAACTCAAGATACAGTGCTGTGGTGTCTGTCACCAGTGCTGCTCTTCCTGTCCATTCTGTCCTGTAAGCAGCAAAAAGCAGATGACAGATTCCTGCAGAGCATCAGAGAGAAGGGCTGACGGAGAGATGAAATAAGAGAGCAGATGTAGAAGACTGTAATCTGCAGAGATCCTCTGACTGATAGGACCTAGAAGATTTTATTTATTGCCAGTCATCTCAAGCTGCTTCAGAAGGAAAAACAAGTACTAAAGCTACAGGTCAAAAAAACCCTCCACAAACAAGACATCTCAAGTGAACATATTCCCAAACAGTTCAACTGAATTTAATCACTATCAACAAATAAACCATATATAAAGTCCCAATTCCTTAGGTCTGGCACCCCCAAAAAAAGGAAAAAGACCATAAAAATGTTTCTTATAGTATGGCTTGCAACTTCTGTTGCTCATAGTAGAACTAAAATAGACCAGTCTTAAGTGCTTTACTAGCACTAGTGGCATTACTTCTTTTTTTCACACTAATGTATCCTGTTTTTTTTCTAGAAAACCCTCAGCAGACATCTCAGCCTTGGCCACCATTAACTGAAGCAGTGGTTCCTTCTAACCCACACTCCTACAAACAAGCTTCAGATGCCACAATTTGCAGTCACACACCGCAACATCGAGAGCATTTGCAGGGTCTTTCTCAGCAAACCTGTATTCTGAGCAGCAGATGCCTGTTGGCATGTTCCAACTTCTTCTGCCTGTTCTCCAGCTCCTTGGTGCGTTGCTGCTCCCGCTGCAGCTTACGGATGTAATCCACGGATGCCTTCAGGATAGTTCCCTTATTCCAGCGCATGTCCCTTTGAGATCAGTAAAAAAAAGGAAGGGTTAATGCTTTCAGGGAGCTTGTTTAAAAGCTTTATTTTATAGCCACTACCTTCCCATGGGCAGGTATGATTACACCTATATAGATAACACCTGGCTAATACTGGTTCCAAGCTGATGAATGCAGAAGGCAGAGGTGGCCAGACGGTCACCACACAGCAGCCAGCCCAGGGCACAGAGCCCAGGGGCTGCCCTGTGAACATCCCCTCAGTCCCACCCCCTGTGACTGCACAACTTAGGACCACGCAGAGCAAAGATGACCAGGGTCACCCCTCATCACTTCCTGGCAAGGCTGGAAGACAACACCACAAAACCCCACAGGACTCTTCAGGGACACAGCCCAGCTGACTATCTGTGCCCTGCCTGATTTCACCTGGGGACATACTTAAAAGGAAACACTCGGTCCTTCTGTAGGAGAAAGACCTGAGGCCCTTTGGCTTCCCAGAAGCAGCAAGCAACAGCCCTCCTGGTGGCACTGTATCACTGCTGTGCCTCGGTCAGAGAAGCCTAGGGCAGCAGCATATTCAAGTGCTTCAGCTTAAAACTGGCTACAAGAAAAATGCCACATTGCAGCCTGGGGGTGATGGCTCTTCAGTCAGGGGGGATGTGGCTCCCATACTGCTTCTCCCACATTTGCTTTAGAGAGAGGGGCTGCCTGCATCCTTTTCTCCCCTGCATCATCATCTTACTTTATTTAAGTAAAACCCACCAGATTACTGCAGACTCTCAGACCAAAGATCCACCTCTCCCATAGGCTGATACTGTGCAATATTGTCTTGCTTGCTTTAGAGTAAGCTAAAGAGCCTCTGAAGTGCAGCTGGGAGTTGCTCGACGGCCAGCTGCCTTAATGGAAACTCTCCCCAAAAGCATCATGGAGCATTCATTCAGATTTAAGTAACATTTTCAAGCTCCAGAGCAAGAGGGGTTCCTTGACAAATTAGCAGCAGTAGAATTACCTAAAAGAACTACTGGGAAATTACGATAAACACTGGCTAATTATTAGTGAACAGACACACAACTACACTCTTTATTTTCCTCTTTTTTCTTGAAGGGAAGGGGAATATGATGAACTGCCCTGTAATTTCACAGAAAGAGGGCTTGGTTCTGTCTTGCCAAGCTATGACATCTAAAAAATGGAAAGAATCACTTAGCAAGACAAGCAGCCACCTAGGCAGCCAGACCAGACTAAGGTTTCCCATCCTAACAAGTCTGTGCTGCTCAGCCAGGCAGTCCCAGTACCAAACCCAGCCCTGCCAAATCCCAGGGTCCATGCTGAGCTCCTGGACAATGGTATGGTGAGTGTTTTGTGACAGGAATCATCAAATTAATATAAACCTAAGATCCAAAAAATAAGCCACAAAACAATCCTCATAAAACATAATGGAACCTTCAAGCATTTGTACCATCATGAAGTGCCAGGATCACACAAGAAAATTCAGAATTAATTTTTTGTGTGAATTCTCTTTCTCCCTTAGGATTGTTCTCTCTTCTAACATTTCCCTCCCACAGTCTCCTTGGGCACATTATACTTACGGGTCATTTGACTTGGGTATCAAAGTGCCTAGTTCTTTTATACGATCATTAATATTAAATCTTCTTCTTCGTTCAACTTTAGGAAAAACAGCACAAATGTTACAAGTAATATTCACACTTAATTACAACATATAAAGTGTTTCATCTAAGACTTCTTTAAGTGCCTTTGAAATGTTTGCCTGAAGCTTAAAATCCAGTGGCAGAGTAATTTCTTTTGCTCTCCCACATACAGAGACGCTAAGTCAGAAGTTGTGGCTACACTGCAAACACGTGGGACTGCTCAAGTGGCAGAGTTCAACTGAGACTCTAAAAACCAGGATGGCTGTGTTAGTAGGTCTCAACTGAGAAAGGGATGCTTTCCTAGGGAAGAGCACCACAGACAAACTCAGGGACAAAAATTTAGATGCTCAAGGAAATCCCAAAGCAGGAAAAGGAATAAAATGTATAGATTCTTCTTAAAAATACTCTTTCAAATGCAACATTTTAAGGATCCAGAAGTCAAACTTAAATACCTGTTTTCCTGCATTAGCTTTTCATGTTACAGAAAAGGCTTCTGAATAGCTCAAGGCATGAAAGAACTTTTTTTTTCTAGTAATACAAAGTATAAAAGGACAACCTAAGGATCTTTTAAATCATAAGATGCTAATGAAAATGTCGGGGGTTTTCCAACTTGGAAATACACATTCCTTTCAAAAATAGAATTTATAAAACTGCCACAGTGAGGGCACACACTGATGCTTAAAGTCACAAGTTGACCACATATCTAATCTTTTAGATTAAGTTAAAAAATAATGGCTAAATCGTGCAAAGTAGATTTATTAAAAGCCACTGGATATTGTTCCTCTTAATTCCATTAGTGACAACCTCCTATTCACTCAGATTATTAAAAAAATAAAAGCAGAGTTTATAAATCAATACTAGATTTAAGAACACATTTCACAAAAAATTGGGAGATATTTGTTTTATGGGCCCAACAAAAGGAACTGGGACTATATACCACATGCAGTGTCTCGTTCAGATTTTGATCACCACATTCCAACAGTGGACGCCTAAAATCAGTGCTAAAATTGGTGCAAAACATGAAGAACCAAAACTTACTCAAGTTGTGATTGTCCTTCTTTTGCCTCTCCTTAGCCAACGCTCTTGCTTCTGACTCTGCAGGAAAAATACATGCTGTGCATGTGAATGAAGTAATTAGAATGAAAGTCATTCAAACACAACGTGTGGGTCTGTGAAACATCTGCACAGGAAACCTGGTCGGGTTTTGCCAAACCAATCATCGCACCCATTCCATGGAGCTGGGGGGGCAGTGAGTGCCAAAACCCAACACTGGTGTTGAACTTCACATCCCTGCACCTGTGGAGCATCCCTTCCCACATCACTTCCATGAGGAGAACGTTTCCCACGGAGGCCCTGATTCAGCAAGGTCTTTGAGGACAACAAATTGCTGAAATAGAACATCCCTTCTCCCCCGCTCACACGCGGCCAGCAACGCAGGGAGCAGAGCCTGAACCAGAGGAACCAGATGCTTATGGCATTGCTCCCTGAGCAGGATGTGAAGCAGCCAGGAGTCAGAGGCTCTACTCACCCAAATTAAGGCTGCCTCCTCCTGTGGCACGTGCCTGCACGTCACTACAAGACTCAAGGGATAACTTAAGTGACCAATGAAAAAGACTGCGTTTTCCAGCTATACTAATGCCCTCATTATATGGAAATAAGATGAAAAATTCAACACCTTTATTAGCAACATTGTTAGAAAACAACAGTCCTTGATTCAGGAAAGCAAAAAGTAACAACAACCATGCTGCGTATCAGTTGTCTCCTCCACTCAGAGCTGTTCTGAGCCTTGCTCTACACATTTATTACACACTCAGCATGAAGAAGAGAAGACTCTGGGGGGGCCTTATAGAGATTTTCCAGTACCTGAAAGGAGCCTATAAGAAGGCTGGGAAAGAACTGTTCACTAGGGCATGTAACTACAGGACAAGGGGTAATGGTTTTAGGCTAGAACAGGGTAGATTCAGGTTGGACATTAGGAAAAAGTTCTTTAACTTGAGGGTGGTGAATCACTTGAAAAGGATGCCTAGAGAGGTGGTGGGGGCTCCACCCCTGGAAACATTCAAGGTCAGGCTTGATGGGGCTCTGAGCAACCTGTTCTACTGTGAGATGTCCCTGCCTATTGTAGGGGGGTTGGACTAAATGACCTTCAGAGATCCCTTCCAACCCAAGACATTTTATGATTATCAGACATCAGCATACAATACTTCAGGCAAAAGCATAACTAAGTTTGTTAAATTCCCTTGGTTCTTCATAATTTTGATATTGATACAGTAGGATGGAGGAAGGTTTCTGACAGATGCTAGATTTAAATACAGCAAGGAAAGTTCCAACAGCAAAATCAGGAAATGGAGAACCAAAAGACCCCTGGCTGCACTAAAATGCTGATTTTAAAATCACTGGCTGGCAGAAAGCACCAGCAATAGTGATTTCTGCACAAAGGCTTGGCCAGATCAATGTCAAAGCAACTGCTATAAAATTTGAGTTTAATTCCTAAACCACTCCTAAATTAAATGCAATCTGCTAGTATATATCTTGGACAGAAGCACTAATTTGCATTGTTTCTCTGTACAGGTGAATGTAGCACATAGATACATAATTTAGTTCAGATCTATTTTGAGGTACTGAGGACTTGCATAAGACCACCTGCATGTTTAGTTTGCCACCTACAGCCACCTTTAACTTTCTGTAATGGGGGCAATGAAATTGCCTGTAATGCAGAACTTTGAGTAGTTCTCATCCCTGCCATTCACCTCTTAATGAAGTTTCATCACTTCAAGAGCTTTTCTTTTTCTAACACTCAGAAATCATTGTGCAGCTTGGGTGTCTTTATTTGAAATGACGTTTTGTACAGTCATATAAATGCAAATATTTGCCAGCTCAGAGCTCTGATATTTCCTCCTGAGAAGCTAACTCCTGGGCTATTAAAACTGCTCTCCTTAAAGTAATTCATGCCCAGAACCTGCTTTGCAACTGAGTCAGCCTGTGAGTTTTCACAACATAAATCCAGAAATATGTCAGACAAGGACAAAACTATGGCTCTACCATGCTGCCTACAGTGTGGCTCCCTGCTGGGCTGAAGAACAGCCATTTCTGTGTATTAAGATGATTTTGTCATTGGTTCTAGGATGGATCTCCATTTGTTCCTCCTGTAGACAAGCTTACTTTGTTTACTGTACCCTACATGTGGTTATAGCCTTTCAAGTGAAGCAGAACAGCAAAACCAAAACATGCTCGAGAAAACAAAACTTCTTATTTCATCTGTCCAACTAGTTAGTTTCTCTACATACATGGCTGAGAGAAAAAGGCTTTTAGTCTCCCCCCTCCCCCTGCCTCCCAAGGGTTTATTCAAATCACTGCTGGAAGAACCTACAGAACAAGAAGTGTTTGGGACTCTTCATTTTCACTTAAATTAAGAGATGCATATTCTCTCTCTTGAGTGTCTAATTTTACATTTTAGAGGATCTAAGCATCCAGATTTCACGTTAGAACAGCCTGGTTGTTCACTGCTGCCCTCCCCAGCCAGAGTAAAGCCTCAACTTGTAACATTCCTCAACTTGAATCCCACAGAGACTCCAGATGTGAATTTGTTAAAAGTTTGGCGTTGACAGAGCAAACGATAAGCCCAAACTAGAAAACAACTCTGCAAGACATGCACAGAAGCTCCCTGTGACACAGTGTTTTCCTGGCAACAATTAGGGACTTGATCTTAATTTGCCAAAGTGAACACACATGGCCACACAGGAACACAACTGCACTGTGAACTAACAGGTCTGCTAAAAAATGGTCCAGAAAGCAAAAAGCAACTATTCATCCACATATTCTTTCACGTAACAGAAATTATGTCCAATATCACCTGAATTCAAAACAATTCTATTATTGCTCCAAGGTGGTATTAAAGACATATTTACCTGTGAGCTCCCTTTTTATATTAGGAAGATTGGCTGGACACGAGTTGCTGATGTTTAGTCCTGGAGGAGGCATGCTTTGGTTGCCATAAAGGTCAATCAAATTGCCAGACACAGGCAACTGGAAAAGATAAACAAGGAAAAGGATCATTTCTTTTGCCCTTATGAAAGGCTTTGAACAGAAGAACAGAGTAGGATCTGCCAAGGAATCTGTGCTCTTCTCTGTGTGCAAACAGAGCGTGCAACGATATCAGCAAAAGTCACTGATTTGCACAGGCAGGAGGAACAAAACTCCTACATTAGGAAAACTGTCTTCTCTCACGAATACGTAGACAGAGAATGTGCAGCAGAGGTAACAAGCTGACAACACTGCTGCATTATTGCTCTTTATTTTGCAGTGGAACAGCAAAGTCTGTACCCCCATTGCTTCTCTTACGCAAACAATCTGCGAGAGCCTACAGAGCACTCCTGGAGGAAGGCCCCAGCTTTCCAGGAATATGTGAGTGAAAGAAAATAGCAAGTTGTCACATGCTTGAAGGAGAACACTATATTCATCAGTCCCTTTTCTCATGTGATTTGAAAGCTACCTACACAGAAAACATTTAAGTTTACTTTAACTTACATAACAAAAACATGCACCAGTGGGAGGAAGATTATTTTGACATTAAGTTTTCCCAAGTACTTGTTCATTCTGCTATTCTTATTTAGGCATGTTTAAGCAAGAAGGTCTGTACAGAAATGGGATTGTATTCCAACAAGATTTACCAAAGCTGTACCTTTAAATTGAAACATATTTAAAGTTTATCCTGAGTGCATTATTTTACCCACCACTCTCTTGTTTTCAAATTAGGTTTTGAAAAGGCAGGTAAAAACCACTTTGATATCTTATCAGAGTTGCAATACTTCTTATCATTGTTGCTGCAAAGAAAACCAATCCCTCCAAGACACTGATCCTGCAGAGATTAAGAGTATTAACTTTACACCCATATAACTAATGCTGTTGAATACAATGGAGTGAGTCACAGCCCAGACTATCCAACTCCTGCTGATGGTCCTTGCCAGAATGAGACCTAAGAAAACGTCTCTGCCATCTGGAGCCACTGTAAGAATAAAAGTTGATCTGCATCTACCCACTAGAACTCCTGCTGGTACTTGTATTGAGCAGACAGTGGCCAACAAGAAAAGTCAAGTCCCTTGACTCAATCTTTTAAGTGACAGAGGAAAAATGTAACTGAATTCTCACCAAGATCAAGCCTTCTAATTCCTCTCTTTTCCGTTAGCTCTTGAATGCAAGCATCACACACCCTTCTGACTTGGATGTGTTTTTTCTATTTATGCTGCTCTCTCATGGAGAGAGCACAAAGAACTTGTTTGTAGCCCAGGGACTTGAAGTTCAGACCAGACATGTGAAAACTAATTAGGAATTTCAGGGAATTAAAAAAAATTCCCCCCCCCCCCCCCAAATCT